TGTTAAATAAATTGAAGTATTGCATTCATACGCCTTAGAACATTTAAAAAAATAATTGAATGAAATCAAGATAAATATAAAAATGAACTAAGTAAAGCCCACCTGTTTTTTTTATTTTATTCTAATATTTTATAGAATATTATGACAATAAAAGTAAATTAAAAATTACCATTGAAAATAAACTGAAGTGACAGTGTAAATAATACACAAAACTTAATTTAAATTTGCATACTGTTTATTAATAATTTATAAAATATGAAAATATGGTCCCAAAACTGCTTAATTGTCTCTATAAATGTTATTGTTTGTTGATTGCATAATGAGGAAGTAGGTACATTTTTTTTAATTTGATAACAGTTTCTAGATGTAACGTAACCCGAAATAACAAATACATAATAATATGTATTTTGAATTATTTATATTGTTTAGTTTTTTACTTGCGTCATCTATGCACATCACAACCAATCACTGCTACAGATATCAATTTCATCATCATCATCATCTTTGGCTCTACAACCCTGGGTGGGTCTTGGCCTGTACAAGAATTAGTTCCCCCTATATTCCCCTCTATTTTTCGCCCTGGCTTTCCCATTTCTGACCCCTAGATTCCTCAAGTCATCTTCGACTTGCGTTTTGAATCTAGATCTTGGCTTACCTCTCTTCCTGGTTTCTACTGGCTCTTGATATAATATCAGATATAGATAACAGTGCTATTTATGTTTTAACGTTACTCGCTAGATGTCGCTTATGGATAATGTATAATTGGTTGCGTAACTATTAGTAACTCAGGAAATACATCTTGTAGAATGCCATAAAAAGTATACAAAACATGGCAAAAGCACAGAATATTAAACAATTGTTTATTATTCTGTGGTAAAAATATACGTCATTGGTAAAAGTATATAGAAAGTGCCGGTTAAGTTAGCTACAAACGAAACGTCAAAATTGCGTTTGCGGTATTGCCATTGTTATGTATATGTTTTATGCCTCAAATGTGCTTTGAAACAGTACATTTGTATTATATTATTTTATGGAATCTGGTATTTTTTGAATCTATATAAATCACGAACAAATACACATTTCTTTCTTTCGATATTAGTTGTAATTAGTTATTAGAAAAAAAATTATAATTGGCCATTGGTAAATTAGCGAATAAACTTGGCAATGCTGTCACAACTTTCAAAACACTAGTTGCCAGATTGCAACAGATTTCAATTTTATGACTATCTTCTTATAATTTTGGAATGAAATGGTACTTGAATACCGTTTTGTTATTGTATTATTTAGTTACTGGAGCTTGTTTAGATCGTCACTACATTTAAATTGTGTCAATTTGTGTGTTTGGTAAACAAAATTTCAATTTAAACTAATACATATAATTAATTAAAATTATATCGTATGCTTTTTCGTTATTTATTAAAACGACATGGCAACACTGTCACATACAAAACTTTCCTTCATTTGTAGCAAACTTCACCGACAATTTCTATATACTTTTGCCTATTTTGTAGATATTCTTCAAAAAAATTATTCGAATTCTTTCAATTAAGAAATATGAAGTTATCTCAGTTAACCCACGGTTCCTAGACTTACTCCGGTTGACTCTTCCGCCTAACCAATGAACATTAAGCTGAACTGTACTCCTGTGACGTAATTTGAATCTTAAAAATCAGCCCTGTGATTGGATGGATGTATCAAAACAAAACAAAAATGTTTTATAAATAAAATAAATGTTAAATAACGTGCACGTTAACCTGCATTTACGTTATATTCTAAAAATTGATGTGATGTATCACAGATAACGTTTGTAAAAAAAAAAACGTTATGTGGTAACGTTTTACGTTATCTTGCTAACATAATATATTATATTATCTGATAACAGGTTCAATCAGAGATATGTACCATGGTGACAGTAAAATTCTCCTGTTAGTGATTCCATAGTAAATTATGAGGGAAAAACCAGGAAAAAACCTCATAATGCTATCTCGACATGGTAAGTATTTGGTCGTGCATTTAGTTTGCCTTTAAGTCCCACATCACAAAAAGAATAATAAGTGTGAAGAAGATTCAGAGAAGGAAAAAATAAAATTAAGTATTCTTAAAATTAGAAAAGAAAAGGAAGAGTTAAGTAGAGACGTTTTAAAATTAGAAAAACAGAAACGGAAACAGAGAAAAGAGAAACAGACACAAAAGAGTTGGCAGTTAAAGAAAAGATTCTACAACTGAAACATCAATATGGGGTTGAGTTCGAGAATTTAGAAATTTAATACCGTTTGGTTAATTTTATATTATTGTAAATTAGTTATTAAAATAAAAATTGGTTATCTTATTATTGTAGAAGTATCATATAAATGACATCATATACTGGTACCCAAGCAATATTTAAGAGGAAATAATAATTTACAAACCTTGCTGTGTCCTCTGGAAAAGTTAAGGAATGCTTATTTCATCTAATATTTTTACAACACCCGTTTTGCCGTCTTAAAATCAAACACTTTACTCAAGAATAATAATAAACACAAAAAACTGAACAATGAAACTGAAATATATGTACATACTTTGTTTTTCAAATACCGTAAAATGAAAGGATTATGTATCTACTTGCTGATATGGTCTTATTTTCATGACTTCCTTGAAATGACAATATATCGCTTAATAAATATTAATAGATCCCGTAACATTTTGCCTATTTTTCACAAAGTTATCTGTTAAAAGTGGATATAAACACTTTCTTATAAGTATGTAATTTATTGTAGAAAAATTCTGTAATAAAAATACATGTTCATTATAGTATCATAAATATCATATTCATTAAGTTACTGGTGTTATATTTAGTTTGTTTCATAGATTTATTACCAGAGTTTAATAAGAAAAAGTTGACACAATTAAGTTAATTTTATTTCTGTGACTATTTGAATTGTCAACACTTTTTTTGTTAAATTAAAAATACATATACAATAATTAAAACACTCATAATTCTTATATTATGTTTTATTGAACCGTAAATAATTTTAAAATAAACATTTTATTTAATTAATAAATGCAGTACGAATGACAGCATTTCTTACAGCAAAATTATCTTGATTTCTAGTGACCTTGTTTAAATTTTTATCTTCTGACTCGGCGTGATTACTGTCATATTCACTATCAGTCAGCACATCATTCCTCCTTCTACATATATTATGCAATACACAAATTGCCACTATAATTGGAATAGCTCTATTTACACTGACTAGACACTCTTTACATTTTGGAATGAGGTGATATAGTCTTTCAACTGTATGTGCTTCATTGTCACTTTATATTCACAAACATAACACACTGTTCTCTCTTCAACAAGTCTTCATGTGTTGTAGAGGTGTGTCCTAATCTGAGACTTCTTATTGGGATTTGATGTTGTCGCTTTGAAGGCCTGAAGTATCATGGAAGGACGGAAGATTCTATTTCTATCAATTTAGTGGTGCTTCTATTCCATTGGTCCCGTAGACAAACAAGGAAACCTTCTCTTTAAGACACCAAACATTCTTTCAATTGTATTCTGTGTGTGGATATGTGTATAATTGTATTTCCTTTCATCTGGCGTTTGTGGATCATGTAAAGGAGTTAAAAATATATTTTCGGCATGGATAACCACTATCACCCAGTAAATATGTTTCACAAAACTCATTGTTTTCAAACTGAGCTCTTATCAGAGAATTATCAAATACATGACTATTGTGGGAGTAACCAGGCCATCTAGCAACTACATTGATTACATTTAAATTTGCATCACAATCCATCTGTATATTTATTGAAAAATACCAGTCACTATCAACACTAGATACAGTTGGAGAATTAACATCTGACACTGATGATACTGAAGACATTTCAAAATATTATTAAATCTAAATATTTTCACACCAGCCGAAAAGACATTGAAACTGTCATATTTACTTGTTAAATAAAATTTACTTGGTAGAAAACTAAGGAATAGTTTAGTTTGCAGATTTAGAATTAATTTACTATGTGTTTAAAATACGCAAATCTGCAGAGTAAATTATTTTACTTTCAAACTAAATTTTACTTGGCAAGTAAAATGTTTTATAATACCGCAATACTAGGCATAAAAGTGGTATAAACAAACCAGACAGCTGTTGATTTGAATATAATTATTAATTATTTTTAGTAAATTTCAGCATTATGACCACGTTAAAGTATTTTAAATCCAATCTAGAATAAACTGAAAAACTAATTTATTATGCAATTATTATATCAAAAAATAATTTATTATGCAATTTTTTAAAGACAAATCATGTGCTATATTTTCTGACAGGTGATCTCAAGTTAAGGTTGATTTCATGTAATCAAATGAACTATTTTACAATAAAGCCAAGTTAAAGTTATTTGTTTATGTTAATATACAATAAAGTACTTACATATGTCAAAAAAATAGTATAAAATAAAAATTAACATATTAAAAACATAAGATATAATAATGCATATATACGTTAAGGCAAACATTACACAGAATATTATATTCTGGGTTCCCAGGTATACACAAAATAGGATTCATCATCAATACACAAGCCAGTTCCAAACATTAAAGTTAAAATTTAGGAATTCATCACTTGAAAACTGCTTCCCCTTCAACCAATGGACTCTTTGCTTGACCACAATACTCAAAGATATTATTAAGGTTAATTTCCATTATTAAATGATACAAATAACTCGTCTTAAACCAAACTAAACATCGAAAAGCAATGGTAAATATTCGAATGTTATGTTTGTTTTTGTTCATACCATTTATATCGGCCATGACACTGCAATCGACCTGCCCTCTACATTCAGTTTCAATCGCGAATAAATGGGTTTTGTATTTTTGTGTACTCCTGTGACGTAACTCAAGCATCCCCACCCCAGTCGGAAGAGGCAACCGGAGTAAGTCTACGAACCGTGCAGTTAACCCTTGTTTGTATTTGTAACATATGTCAACGTCAACGTCATTTATAGTCAATAATACCAATGTCAATGTCAAACGAGTTATTGTGTACAATTTGATTATTATTAGTTTATAAGAATTTTAATAATATTAGAAGAAAATGTAATTGATAATTGGTAAATAAAACTAAAATGTTGGAAGGGTGGTATTGTCGATCGATAGCAGATGAGGCAGCAGCCGCAGAAGAAGAGGAAAGGATTTTAGAGGAATCAAAATTTAAAAAAGAGTACAAATATCTAAAAAGAAAATTTCAAAATCTAGTTTTTGTAAGTAGAATTATAATTAATTATTTTTGAACTAAATCCAATAGAAACCTTGATAACAATATTCAATAATTAAAATATTTCAGGAAAATGAATCATTTCAAAAAGCTCTCAGAGCAGCACAGAAAAGGCTTCTTGTGGTTTCTAGAGACAGAGCCTTTTTACTTGACCGTTTACTAATGCATGAAAAAGCTGAAAACAGTACTTCAGAATCTGACGAAACAGAATCATCTGATGATGGAGAAATTGCAAAGCCGGAACCAATAAAAAAGTAAAACAAGTTGATATTTATGTTCTATTGTTACATTCTGTTTCTTATAATTCACTCTATCTAACATAATACTTTTCACTTTTGTTAAACTAAAAATGTCATAATTTTAACCAATATATTTTTATTTATTGTGTAGTAAGTAAATTTCTCCTTTTCAGACGTAGAGATATTAGTTCACATTCAAATATGCATCATGTGAATTCTTCTGGAAAAGTAATGTCTATAGTAAAAAAGAAAAGACCTCCTGCACCTAGACCTCCCAAACATCAAATACCTCAGACAATGGTAATTATAAACACATTTTTATGGTCACATAGTTAGTAACACTTTTAGTATATTGCAATTGGTGCAGTAAGCCTATACTATTTTTTTGATAATGTAATGGATAGTCCTTGATGGGGAACCCACCAAGGACTACCCATTTATAATCTGTGGTTGAGAACCACTGTAACCTAGCTAAATGAATTAATGACAACTCTAAATTTTTAGCAGCTTCAAATGCCTCCAAGTAGTAGTGCCTTATCTGATGGTCATATGACTCCTGAAGAAGTTGAAAGACATTTACAAGCTCAAAGTTTCATGGAATTTCTTCCCGAGAGGGCACCTCCAACTGTTCCAACAGAAATGTTTAGTAACGAGCCATCATTAGATAGGTATGTGCTAATAAGATTAATATATGGATGGCGTTATGCATCACTAGCCCAAGTGCCAAAAATTGATTTTGAGATATTTGACTTCAAAGTTTTCACTATATTAAAATTCACTATATGTTACAATAGTCGTAATTTTTTGTTTTCAAAGACAGTTTTTTATGTTTTCTTTAAGTACGAAATCTTCTTTGAGTGCATCTCCTATCAGAGATTGGATATCATTAGGGCGATTCTAATTTTATTTACTGCTGTTTTGAAGTGCAAAATAGTAACTTGCTAATGTTAAAGAAAAATGGAAAAAAAATAAAAAGGCTTTTGGTTGACATATGATTTTTGCTACATTTATGCTGTGTTTGGTCTAGTGATGCGTAACTTAAATATCACTTTTAGTAAATGATTAGTAGGCCACAAGCTATTTTTTCTTTTTGGATACTACAATAAAAGACATTGTTTTGAATATTTTATATTACTTAAGAAATTAATCAAAAATAGTTTCATTAATAGTTTAAGGAATTTTCTGCATGCTACAATCTCTCACTTCTTTGTCCAGCTCTCCATAGATGGACAGTGTAATTCTAAGGTATTTTATTTCCATTACTTGTTCAGTACTGATGCCATCAATTTCTATTTTACATCTAATTCATTCTTTGCTGATTATTATTATTTTAGTTTTCTGAAATGAGATTGTCATATTAAATTCTTTTGCTCCTATGTTAAATCTGTGGACTAGTATTTGCAGACTATTTTCATCTTTGGCTATCAATATTGCATCGTCATCTGCGTAACAGAATATTTTTACTTCTCTGTTTCCCATCCTCTATCCTCGTCCTTTGTTGACACTTTTGATGATTTCAGCCATGATTAAATTAAAGAGCACAGGGCTCAATAAGTCCCTCTGTCCTATTCCGCTGCCTATTTCTAGAGGTTCTGTAAGTTGTCCATCTATTCTGCCTTCCATTTTGTTGTTTTGGTAGACGTTTTCAATAATTTTTATGATATTTAAGGGAACTTCTCTTGTTCTGTATTATACAGAAGATGGATTACATCTTTGACTCTTACTCTGTCAAATTTTAATACAGAAATTCTGGTCAATTATACTCTAGTGATTTCTCAATAATTTATTAATAATAATATTAATAATAGATGCAATAATAGATTGCACTGTGCTCACAGACCAAACTGTAGCACATAATAGACTAGATCTAGTCGCTAGTTAATAAACTAACAAGACAAACAACGCTAATCGATGTGGCGATACCTAAAAACAATAATCTGCGTGTTAAGTACAACGAAAAGATCGCCAAGTACAGAGATCTGGAAATACAAATAAGGAGACAATGGAGAATGGAAAGTACCCAGACGATACCTATTATTCTTTCTAGAGTCATTCCGAATAACCTCCTAGAAAACATAAAAAAGCTGGGTCTAAATGAACATCTAAATAAGATCATGCAGAAAGCTGTGCTACTTTCGACGTCCAGATGCGTGCGAAATTTTTTGGAAGAAACACCGATGTACCAAGTCACCTAGGACTCAATAACATGGAAAGAGTCCCACCAGAGCTCAATCCTTTTGATACCATAGGTATCTGGGATGAGTGAATTTTCCCTTTAGAGGGAGTGTGAGCCGAATGGCTAAGTCTGAATGCAATAATAATAATATTACATCTGTACACGATCTTCCAGTACGAAAATCCTGTTGTTCATCGGCTAAACTTATAATATTATTCATTACTTCTTGTAAAATTTTAGTAGTAAGTTTTTTGGCTGTTTTTGATCTTCATTCTTCCTGTATTTTATAATGTTGTTAATTCATGTTGTTAAGTTTTTTGTCATTGCTGCTCCACAATATTCCAGTAATTCCATTTTGAATGATGAAAATTGTATTTTTAGTTATATAACGTATCAGTATGAGTTTAAAAGTAAATAAAGAGTCATAAATATGTATTTTTCCGTTCTATCAATAGGATACTACGACTATGTATCTAATTTTTTTATGCATACTCATAAAGTGATAAGAATCTTAGTTCACAATCCCAAATAAAATACTTATAATGCAACGAGATAATTATTGTAATAATGCATTAACGCTTTTGTTTATTTCAGCGAATCTAATGATATCGGGGAACTTGAGACATCACCAAGCAATATGGGCGAAGAGATAAGTATTGATATGATTGTAGAGTGATGATTTAAAGAATTAAGTAATTTGTCATTTTGTAATTCTTGTTAAATAATTGTAATTGTGATTACTAATAAATTATATTAAATTGTACTTTCAGTTTTTTAAATGTAATCTTTAAGGTGGGTGCCACTGTGTAAACGACTAAAACGATTTTTTTTTGTTTAAACGACTTTGTAACAACTTGAATACAATTGGCAAGTTTTGCAACTTGTGCAATTGTGACCGCACGTCAGGGACATAAGTAAGACAGGCTTGTCTGGTTTCGGATTTGGAAACTCAACAAATTGCTTGCACCAAACTAAAAAGCTTTTTTGTAATCCACCTTGTTTCATGGAAGAAAGGAAAAGATCCTGCTGGAGCATCATTCATTAATGTGGAATTTTCCCTTTTTCGTGGAAATATAAAGATCGTTGGCATGAAGTTTCCAGCAGCACTCATACAGGCCTCGGCTGTCCGTAGTGTTTCTCTTTCAGATGAAGCTAAAGCACTTACTTGTTTCTTCCCCCTCAGAGCTACAATTTTTGATGCCGTATTAGCTTTGTGGTTCCTGTTTCATCAACATTGTAGATGTCCTTATGGGAGATATTATATTTCTTCAATATATCTTCTAATAGGACAAAAAACTTAGCTGCATCCCCATTGAATACCTTAGTTCGTTCCAATGAAGTTTGCTCCAGAGAGCACAGCGAAAGTCTTGGATTTCTGTTAAGAAATGCATACAGCCAATCTTTACCAGCAGCTTTTTTGCTCCTGTTGAACGTGTGGCCAATTCCGTTTACTTCAGCTAATTCAAACGCTAAATGGCGTAAATCCATTAGTGTAAGACCAAAAAGCCTCTCTTTCATATTGACAATATGTTGGGCTAATTCTTCTTCCTGTCCCTTGAAAAATACACTTCTATCGTCCAAGCTTTTCTTCCAGATGATTAATTAGCTGTCAACCCAAGTTCATGAGCCTTTCTTATGCGTCTGTGTTGCCTGAGGAACGTTGAAATGATCAGAAGCCTTTCGGTACCCCATTTGCCCTTTTAAAATGGCTTTCACAGCGAATTCCATGCTCTCTTCATTCCAACTCTGTCTATTCATCGTTCTTTTGTACCGCCGTATTGTGAGGTCTGAAAAATGCCATATACCTCAGGCTACATCTCTAACACATCTAATATAAATCACTAATTATATAAAAACCATAATCCATCCAACACAGTGAAAATTTAACAAAAACAAAATAATTTGATAATAATGCCCATATTAAGTTTTATAGGCATAAGATATCTTAGAGTACTATTATACATTGCTGTAAAAACTGTTTAATGTTCAACACATTAAATATTTGGACAGATTAAATATTACAGAAGCGAAGCTAAGTCAATTGTATATGTTAATGAAACCTATGTACATACAGGACACACTACGCCAAATAGCTGGACAGATGACAGTGACAAAGGATTGTTCAAAAATATTTAAAAAGGAAGTAGGTTTGTTATCGTACATGGTGATACGGAGATGGGTTTCATATAGAATGTCTTTTGATTTTTAAGTCAACAGCTAAGACAGGATATTATCATGATGATATGAATTCAGAAAATTATGAACAATGAATGAAAGAACAATTAATCTTCAATTTGCCTGTTGGATCTGTTGTTACTGATAATGTACAAATTTGCCTCTACATAAATAAGGTAAAAAACCTCTAATATGGCCCCCAGGGGTCCAGGGCCATATTAGAGGTTTTTGTTTTTTACAGTATCCTAGATACGTTTAATATGTTTAAAAAAGTTAGAGAAGTAGCTGGTCTTTATCATAAGAAAACTCCACATACTATAACCGATTCGTCGGGAAAAATGATAATAGACGAACATGAAATTCGAACACCCTGGTGTAATTATATAAGTGAACTGTATAATGATGATAGACCCGAAGAACCGAAGACTTTAGTTGAAGGTGAAGGACCAGAAATACTAAAATCAGAAATACTGCATGCTATAAAGTTAGCAAAGAACAAGAAAGCCGTTGGCCCTGATAACATACCGACAGAGATGTTAAAGCTCATAAACGAGGAGAACATTGGAATACTGGTCAAACTTTTCAATGCTGTTTATTCGACTGGTGATATCCCTGAAGATTGGTTAAAGTCCGAATTCATAACACTACCAAAAAAACAACGCCCGAAAAACTGTAGCGATTATAGAATGATAAGCCTTATGAGCCACACTTTGAAAATATTTCTACGCATCATCCACAGTAGAATCAGAGATAAATGTGAAGATCAGGATGAAACACAATTTGGCTTCAGAAATTGACTGGGAATTCGGGACGCCCTCTTTGCACTAAATGTATTACTGCAGAAATGTCGAGATCAAAGGAAAGACGTCTTTGCTGTATTTATTGACTATGAAAAGGCCTTTGATTGAGTACAGCATCACAAATTAATTACAATATTAAAAGATAAAGGAGTTGATAGTCAAGACATACGATTCATAGAAAAGTTATACTGGCGTCAAACAGCGACAGCTTGCATAAACGGAAAATCAACAGAAATATGTAAAATACAAAGAGGTGTCAGACAGGGTTGTATACTATCCCCTTCTTCTTCTTCTCGTGCCACTCCTAGCGGAGATTGGAAATCATCATGGCCACTGCGACTTTGTTAGCAGCGCGCCTGAAAAGTTCAATCGAACTACATCCGAACCATTCACGTAGATTACGAAGCCACGATATTTTTCTTCTTCCCACACTTCTTTTGCCCTGCATGATGTTTCTTAAAAGTTCGTACTTTTCACCTCTCACAATGTGCCCCAAGTATTCCATCTTTCTAGTTTTTATCTCATTTAGAATTTCGCATCTTTTGTCTAAAGTTTGGAGTACTTGCGTGTTAGTGACGCGGTCCATCCATGATATTCTGAGAATGCGCCTATAGCACCACATCTCGAAAGCTTCGATGTTTTTTATGGTCAACTGTTTTAGTGTCCAAGCCTCAACTCCATATAACAGGGTAGAAAAGACATAACACTGCAGCATTATCAATATAATGTCAACACAATACTATCCCCACTGTTATTTAATTTATATTCAGATAGAATATTTAAAGAAGCGCTGCATAATTTGGAATGGGGCGTGAAAGTTAATGGAATTCTGATAAATACAATCAGATATGCAGACGATACAGTTATTTTAAGTGATGGCATGCATGGATTACAATGCCTTTTAAATGCCATTGATACAGTGGGAAGAGAGTTTGGCCTAAACATAAACTGTTCAAAAACAAAACACATCAAGAGATAAAATGTAGAATCGAGATTTAAAAAATGTCGAGCCCGCACGACATTTTTTAAAATGAGGTCATTCTTCTGTAATGATAACTTGAAACTTCCAACTTCGAAAGCGTATGGTTAAATGCTACATTTGGTCAGTCCTCTTATACGGTGTCGAAGCATGGACATTAAAAATATCCACCATTAATCTTCTGGAGGCCTTTGAAATGTGGCTGCACAGACGTATACTAAAAATTCCATGGACAGCTATGCTGACAAATGTGGCAGTCCTTGAGAGAGCAAATGCTGCTCGCGAGCTGCTTGATAACATCAAATGTAGAAAGATGGCCTATTTTGGACACGTAGTAAGGGGAGACCGATATAATATTCTTCAACTTATTATGATGGGTCAAATCGAAGGACGCAGAGGAATTGGTAGAAAGCAGGCCTCTTGGTTGAAGAATATCAGAGAGTGGACAGGAATAAAGAAAGCTGAGTAACTCTTTAGAATAGCTCGAGACAGAGACAGTTTTGCCATGTTAATCGCCAACGTCAAGGGGACTTTATAGGGCACGTTAAGAAGAAGAAGATACTGACAAGAATAATTTTTTTATGTTAGATCTTGATTTTTTTTAAAATTTTTTAATAATACTGTATTAGTATTAGACTGGAATACCTAGGCCATATAATGCGCAATGAACAACGATATGACCTATTTCGGACCATACTTCAAGGTGAAGTGCATAGGAAAAGGTGTTAAGGACGAAGAAGAATATCCTGGCTGCATATTCTTCTTTATGTGCCGTCTTCTACCGAAGGTTGGCGACCATCATACGATAGGTTTCTCTGTTTTGTGCCGCATGAATTATGTTCGCAGCTTCTGGTATTTGAAACCATTCTCTCAAGTTTCTCAGCCAGGATTTCTTCTTTCTGCCCAAGCCTCTTCTACCTTCAATCTTGCCTTCCGCGATAAGCTGTAGCAGACTGTACTGATCATTACGGAACACATGGCCCAGGTATGACGCTTTCCTCCTTTTAACAGTTGTTAACAATTCCACCTCTTTACCCATTCGTCTTAATACCTCTGTGTTGGTCACTCTGTCTGTCCAAGGTATTCTCAGTATGCGTCGATACAGCCACATTTCTAGAGCCGCTAACTTCTTTATAATTGCTGCTGTTAACGTCCACCCTTCTACGCCGTAAAGTAGCGTAGAGAGTACGTAGCATTTCGTGGCGCGCCATCGGAGGTTAATGCTTAGGTTGCGGTTGCTTAAGAGCTTTCTCATTTTGATGAATTTGGATCTTGCTATTTCAATTCGGATCTTAATCTCTACTTCTGGGTCCCACTTGTCATTTACTGTATATGCCAGATATTTAAATCGGTGTACTCTTTCAATACGTTCGTCTTCAATATGCAGGTCGATATGTTGAAATTTTTTTTACTGATCACCATAAATTTAGTTTTCTTTCTATTGATCTTCAGTCCAAATCGGCTGCCAGTTGTATTAACTCTATGTAGCATCATCTGTAAATCTTCGATGTTATCGGCCAGTATAATAGTATCATCTGCATATCGAAAATTACTTATTGGTACGCCATTAATCTTGATGCCCTCATTGTACTCTTCTAGTGCCTCTAGAAATATTTGTTCCGTGTACAGGTTGAAAAGCAGTGGCGAAAGAATACAGCCCTGTCTTACCCCTCTAGAAATGGTTATGTTTTCACTCACCATATGTCCATTCTTCATGTGGGCTGTTTGATTCCAATATAGATTTTTTATAATCTGGATGTCCTTAGTGTCAAGTCCTGAAAGACGTAATAGTTCTATTAGTTTGTCAT